GCAGGACTGGCCCAGCTGCCTTGAGCTTTGTTCCTGGACTACAGGAGTCACAGAAAAATCCATACATTGGAATGACCACCTCTTACACATGTACCTGTATCCCCCAGAGAATGCTGTTAATAGAGGATGTTCACTGTAGTGTTTCGAACAGGGACAACTTGGAAACAGCCCAGATATCCCACAAAGAGGGCTGGTCAGACAGGTTATCACACACCCTTGCCAGGCAGGACTGGCCCAGCTGCCTTGAGCTTTGTTCCTGGACTACAGGAGTCACAGAAAAATCCGTATATTGGAATGACCACCTCTTACACATGTACCTGTATCCCCCAGAGAATGCTGTTAATAGAGGATGTTCACTGTAGTGTTTCAAACAGGGACAACTTGGAAACAGCCCAGATATCCCACAAAGAGGGCTGGTCAGACAGGTTATCACACACCCTTGCCATGGAAGTCACTGTAGCCTGGAGAATGATTATATGTAGCACTTACTATTGCAGTCACTGCTCCAACATTTTGTTTTAATCCTCACAACAACCCTATGAGGAAGAGATTATTACTGGTACCATATTTCAGATGAGATAATTGTGGCACAAAGGGGTTAAGTCACTTGCCTAAGGTCACACAGTAAGTGACAGAGTTGGGATTCAATCCCGGGCAGTCCACTGCCAGAGCCTGGGCTTTTAGTCATCATGCTGTAGTGTTGTAGAAAAATTCTCCTGGCTTGGAAACTGCTCATGATATACTGTTCATAAAAAAAGCAAGTTACCGAACAGTAGGTACTGTATAATCCCATTTTTGTGGGGGAAATAACAAGGCATAAATCCACATGAGTAGGAAAAATCTGAAAGGGTATAAACACAAAGTTAAGTGCTGGTTTTTAGAGATATTGAAATCATGGGTGCTTTATGTGAGCTTTATATATCTCTGTATTTTCAAAGTTTTCTTCAGTAAACATGCCAAGCTTATGTGATATTAATTGCTAACATTTATGGAGCATTTTCTACACAACTGACATTTTATGTACCATCTCATTTAATCTTTACAACAACCCTATGAGACCAACACTCTGATTTTCTCTGATTTCCTCCACTTTACAGATGAGGAAACTGGCTCACAGAGACTGACTGTCTTACTCAAGGTCACACAGCTAATAAATTGCAGAACCAAGATCTGAACCCAGGTTGCCTGACTCCAAAGCTCATGAGTATTAAATGAATGAATAATTTGGCCACACCTTAGTGAGGCATGCCCAGAGGAAGATCACACCTTTGGTGTGGACAAGCTCCCAGGGAGGTAATGGAGGACCTACCTGCCTTATTGGTCACTGCCTGTGACTGAGCTTGACTGAGGTGAGGAGGACATGGTGAGTACTCTCACAGAGTCCTGTTTTTACATAAAAGGCATGATTACATGCCCAGGGAGGTAATGGAGGACCTACCTGCCTTATTGGTCACTGCCTGTGACTGAGCTTGACTCAGGTGAGGAGGACATGGTGAGTACTCTCACAGAGTCCTGTTTTTACATAAAAGGCATGATTACATATGAACACTGTGGGCTCTTGGACTTGATTCATGCCCTGGAGGAAGCCTGACCATTCAGACCAAGATGCCATAGGGCACTGCTTGCCTACTTTTATTTCTGCAATACAGGTTGCTGGCCTGCTTTCATATCTTCACATTCGTATAACCCTGTGAGGAGAGTAGAGCAGGTCATCTTATTTGATGCATAAACAAATTGAGACTGATGGTTTAGTAATTGGGGAGGCAGAATTGTAAACCAGTTAAGAGCACAAGCTATGATGTCAGATGGATCTGGATTGGGCCCCAGCTCTGCCATTTATTAGCCGTGTGACTTTGGGTATGTGGCATTACCTCTCTGAGGAGCAGTTTTCTCATCTGTAAAACATGGGTAGTGATGCCTGTACTCAGACTTGAGGGGAAAATTTTATGAAATAATGTATGTGAAATGCTTGGTCCAGTGCTTGGCATTCCAGAAATGGTAGCTATTATTCATTCAATAAGTATTTATTGAGCACCTACTATGGACTGAGCACCTGGTGCTGAGGATACAACAGGGACCACAAAAGTCCCTGTTCTCATGTTGCTCAGATTCTCCTAGGGGAAGACAGACAACAAACAAATACACAAGTAAAAATATATCCTGTGTTAGATGGTAATAAGTGCTGTGAAGCAAACTAAAAGAGGGGGAGCACGAGAAACACTTGTTGGGGGGAGGGAGAGAGAGTTGATGTTGCCCTTGTAAGTAGGACAGTCAGGGAAAACTTCCGTGAGAAGGGGCCAGTGGGGTAAAGATCGAGAGATGAAGGCGGGAGCAAGCAGGTATCTGGTAGGAGGAGTGTTTCAGGCAAGAAGAATAGCAGGTGCACAGAGTGCTTTTTTCCCAACATTTTATTATTCAAACATCTAGCAAAAAAAGTTGAAAGAATTGTACGGTGAAATTCTATACACCTCCCACCTAGATTCAACAATTAACATTTTACTGTATTTGATTTTCAATATACCTACCTAGATCACCTGTGCTTTTTGTACCAGGTGACCTGCCTTGAAAATTTGGAGACAATATCTGAAACAATAGACAGAAAATGGGGACTTTTTAGGGCCGGCCTGTGGCTCACTTGGGAGAGTGCGGTGCTGATAACACCAAGGCCATAGGTTTGGATCCTACGTAAGGATGGCTGGTTCGCTCACTGGCTGAGCGTGGTGCTGACAACACCAAGTCAAGGGTTAAGATCCCCTTACCGGTCATCTTTAAAAAAAAAAATCTGGGACTTTTTGCAAGAGCCAGAGGGAAGGAGCAAAAACTCTGCTTTTGACAAATCTGTTGGGAGAGGCCAACTGTGGGGACACCTCCCTTTGTTAATGAAAGCCTTTCTGTTCAGTGAGGACCTCGTCCCTCTCCTCAAGCAGCCAGTCCCTGCTGCTTCCTCACTGGGTCAGGGTTAGGACACACAGGGGTTTGGGGTGCCATGGAATCAGTTGGCAAACACAACTGTCAGGCACAGGGGTTGGCAGTGACTGGAAATCTTTAGTGCTCATCTTGTTCACATCTGGTGCCCCGGGCAGGTGGGTGCAGTGGCTGCCTGGTTTGCAGAGCCACTAGTACTGAGCCCAGGCCAGGAGGGGAGAGTCACATTCATTTATCCCCCTTGCACAGGGCAGTTCCTCCTTAGAGAAACCCAGTTTATAAGAAGTACTCACTGCAAGAAGGAGGCCAGAAAATAGAACCAGGGGTGACCTTGAGGGAAATGGAGACCTCTGACCTCTGGGAGTCAGAGTACCTTCTCACTTGTTTGCTGTTGGGATAACAGAGGGCTTAAAATTCTGTGTTCCTAGACTTTTAGAATTGGAAGAAGACTGAGAAGTAACCTGGGGTAGAATTAAATGGTTAAATGCATAGGTGCTGAAGTCAAACTGCCTGGGTTTAAATCCCAGCTCCACTACTTACTAACCTTATAACCTTGGATGAGTCACTTTCTATGCCTCAGTTTCCTCATTTGTAATATAAGGCTAATAGTACCCACCTCACAGAATTGCTCACTGAGTTTGTACATGTAAAGTGCTTAGCAATGGTAAGTGCTTAATAAATGTTAGTTCTGAAAATGTATAAAGCAAAAGTAATCAGTGTTTTAGTGTCTTGCAGCCAATTTTTTCTAGGCATAGGGCCTTGATGCTGGAGGCTGGTCTCATTCTCATCTTCTACTTTTTCACCTCCTACGATGATTCCCCCAAGAAACAGAAGAAGCTCATGGGGACCTATCAAGGTGAGGGTCTATTTGGGTCATCGTGGAGGCAAGTAGCAGGGACTGGGGCAGGGGAGGTCTGTGATTCTCCAGGGGCACAGATGTTTCTTTCCACAAAATCCCCAAGGAAAAGGATTCCCACATCTTCTTCCATAGATTGTGCCAAGACCCCGCCAACAACGTAGGCTCTCCTTTAGAAGCAGTGCGAGCATCCCCTCTTCCATGAAGCCTACCTTGATTTGTGAGTGTGGAGTGAGGTGCCTCCTTTTCTGTGTTCCCCAAATTCCCTAGGCCAAATGGTCTTCATAATTCTCTGCTTCTCTGCTTCCCCCCACTTCTCTCTCCTTAGCAGCAAGAAATTTCATGTTGTTGGGTTTTTGGTGTTTGTTTCCTTTTTTTGATCTTTCTTGCTCATTTCTCTACCACCCTCCATTTGGAAGGTTTAGACCGTTGCTCTTTCCCCCCACCCACCCCTTCTTCTCACTTAGGGCCTGGGAAGTCTGCATTCTGTCTGCAAATTCAGAGCCAGAAGGTTCGGCTGAAGGGAAGTGTAGGATGATGGTTATTTTATATATTGCTAAAAATATTCCCAGACTGTGATGAGAACAACTATAAACAAAACAGATGTCCACAGTGGTATGACTTTGCATTTTTTAAAAAGTTGAAATGAGTTTCAAGCATCACAGTGGGCTGATAGGTTGGTTATGATAAAGGATGGGCCTCCTTGAGTGAGATCCCTGAGATGAAGTTGGAGCTTGAGCCTGGTTGAGTACTTGCTTTTTCCTAAGGGACATTAACTGACTAGTTAACTGCAAGCAAAGGGAAGGCATGTCAGGGCCCATGGCAGAGGCAGATAGAACAGAGATGGCTTAGAGAGGGGAGCCCCTACACCACCTAATGGGCTGGACAAGCAAGATCTGGGCACAGTTTCAATTCATTTGAATGTACTTTAATTCTTTTCAAATCCAATACTATACTTCAGTGTATTCATTCATTCATTCAACCATGTATCCTATCGGTGTGGGATCCAGATGTGTGATGGTTAGAACTGATATTCATTGAGCACTTACTATGTACCAGGCACTATTCTAGATGCTTTACATTGAGTCCTCACAACAAGCCTATGGAGTAGGTAGGTACTGTTATGATCTCTGTTTTTCATTTTTGTTCGTTTGTTTTTGAGGCTAGTCAAGTGAAGCAGTGGGAGTAGAGAAGGAACAAAGAAATTGTAACTGGTTATGATCAATTATTTGTAAGTACCACTGCACTCAGACCTGCCTTATCTCCATTTTTTCATGTGAGGAAACTAGGCACATGGATACTGAGTAATTTACCCAAGGTTGCTCGGTTAGCAATAGTGCAGCAGATTTAAATTTAGGCGTCTTGGTTTTAGTTTCCATGCACTGAACCATTTTGCTTCACAGCCCATTTTTACAATAGGGTTGAGTCACTTTCATATAACCAGTAGGTATAGGAGCCACTATTCTAACCTTGTAGGTTGGCTCCAGGGTCCATGTTCTTCACCCCCACACTGTGCTGCTGACATAGGTATAAAGTGTCCTCGGAAACTCACTTTATGTGGAATCACAGAGGAAGGTCCACAACCCAGGCAGGGCAGATGATGGTGTCAGGGAGGTGACAGATGATTCTGGAGGGAGGTGACTGCCCAGCCAGTTCTTGATGTCTCAGCAGGAGTTAACCATGTGAAAAAGGAGGGTCCTCTAGAGTGAGAGGACAGCAAGAGCCATTGTGTGTTGGGGTTTAACTGGGTTGGGGTTTAACACTGCAGTGTTCCTGGTGCATAAAGAGGGAAGCAGGGTATGGTGGACCCATTGGGTTGAGGGAAGAGTTTGGCCTTCATTTTGCTGATCTAATAGGAGGCAGGAATGTGACAAGTTTGAATTTGGGTTATGGAGAAAGCCATTCCAGAGCTGGTGTAGGGGATGAGGGAGGGGGCGTGACTTCAGGCATGAGACCAACATGGAGGTTGTAGTGTAGTGTTGACCAGAGGGCTTCAAACTTCTGATTGAGCACATTTTTCAGGATGCACCATATTTATATATTCTACTCAACTACTCTGCAATAACATACTTTATACATTATAATACATACACACAAATTAGAAAATTTGAAAGAGATCAAAATGAAATATATAATATTTTCAAATTACTATTCATCATGGTGCCATTCAATCTCCAAGCGAGGTCCATTGTTACCATTGACGACAGTGAATGTAAATCCATTCCTCAGAGTCATTTTGATAATTTCGAATTGTCTTGGTTGACTTCTTGTCAGGTCTGATTAGACTGCCTTTTTTTAACCTTGAATGTGACTGACAAAGAGCTCGCAGAAGTAGTCTCACTCTGCCCTTGTCTTTTTGTTTATTTGACTGCCATCATTGTTTTGCATCCAATCTGTGCTTTTCACAGTTGTTTAACCCATTAGTCCATTTTGTGAAGGTTAGTTGAGTTTAACCTAGATAACTTAATCTGTCAATCCATTTGTCTAATCCAGTCCATGTAAACCACAATGAATTATTCAAACCTGCCACTTCTAAAAGACATTTTTGAGACAATCAGGAAATCTGAATATAGCATGAATATATGATATACAGGAATTATTGTTAATTTTGTTAGGTGTGATAAAAGCGTGATGGATTTTTTATTTTTAAGCCCCTATCTGTTAGAGAAGCATATTGAAATGGTATGATGTCTAGGGTTTGCTTTATGAAAAGAAAGGGAGAAAGAGAAAAGAAAAGAAAAAGTGAAGAAGGATCATAAAAACAAAATTGGATCCATGTGACAATCATCAAAACTTAGAGATGGGTACATGAGGTCACTATGCTATTTTCTCTACCTTTGTGTATGCTTAAAAATGTCCATAATGATTAAAATTTTTTTTAAAGCCCTGCCATTAGTTGTAACATTACGAATATGAAGAAACACATATCAGCTCTTCCCAGTGGCCCAATATTCCCTCAGGACACCTTCCAAAGCTAGGAGATTTGAGGCTGTCTGACATCCTGAGCAAGTGAGGGGAGGTTTCTGGGTTAATCTGGACATTAAATACTTGCAGAGTTGTAAACTTCACCAAATACCATTAGAGGCAGAATAGCCTAGATCAGCAGTTCTCAAAGTCTGGTCCCCAGGCCAGCTGCCTCAGCATGCCCTGGGGAACTTTTTATAAATGCAGATTCTCAGGCCCCAATCCAGACCCACTGATCAGAAACTCTGGGGGTGGGGCCCAGCAATATGTGTTTTATCAAGCCCTCTAGGTGGTTCTAATGCACATGAAAGTTTGAGAACTACTGGAGTTAGACTGATTCGAATTTTGCTTCTGCATCCTATTAGGTGTGAGACCTCGGGCAAATTACTCAGCCTCTCTCTGCCCCCATTTCAACCTCTGTCATCTGATCATAGTACTTACTCCAGTAAGCTGTTGTAGACTGATTCGAATTTTGCTTCTGCATCCTATTAGGTGTGAGACCTCGGGCAAATTACTCAACCTCTCTCTGCCCCCATTTCAACCTCTGTCATCTGATCAAAAGAATTAAAAGAATTAACACATGTAAAGACCGATAAAGAGAATTGGTTTTTATTATTAATAAGCTTTAATTTTTTATTTTTTAGATAAAAATAAATAAAATTAGAAGTGCTAATATATTCTTCCAGCAACCTCTATGAATTGTTTTGGACATCTTCTGAGGTGTGTATTCCTTGCTCTGATGACCACTGGTCTGAGTGACCTGTGATGAGACCAATGGGCAGGGACAGTGGAGGAGAAGCAAGGAGTCAGATCAAGAGATATTTAGGAGATAAAGTTAGATGTATTTAGTGAAAAAGAGGAAGGGGTCAAGGATAGCTTCAGATGTGTGATGTGGCTTGTAGACATGCCTATTCCTGAGATGAGAGGCACAAGGAGAGGGACAGGTTGTGGGGTAAATGAACAATGAAATGTCCATTATGGGCTTAGAGTTAAGGTGCCTGTGAGATGCTTAGGGGAAGCAGAGTGTATCAGTTATCTAATGCTGCATGACAACCACCCCAAACTTAGTAGCTTAAAATAGCAACCTTTTAATTTACTCATGATTATCATTCTGTGGTTCACCAATTGGGCTGGGCTCAGCTGGGCAGTTCTTCTGTTGGTTTCATCTAGGGTCAGTCATGCATCTGCAGCCTAGATGTCTGACCTCAGATGGCCTCGTTCACGTGTTTGGCAGGTGGTGCTGGCTGGCAGCTAGGCCATGTGGTTCCAGCAGGCTAGCCCAGACTGCTTCACATGGCAGCAGAAGAGCTCCACAGTAAGAGAGGGCAAGCCTCAACATGGAGGTACTTTTCAAACCTCTGCTTGTATCATGTTTACTAATGTCCCATTGGCCAAAGCAAAATACAAGGCCAAATCCACGCGGGAGGGGTCTATACTGGGAGGCATGACTCATTGGGGGCCATTACTATAACAATCTACCACACAGAGCCTGCCCTAGGGCTGCCAAATTGGGCACATCCTGAGCCCTATGCTGTGGATACACCCATGCCCCCTGTACTCCTCAGAGGCAGGGAGAAGGGCTACCAGAAAACAAGAGGGGTTTTCCCAGTAAAATGTAAATACCCCAAACCATGGCACTTTCCACATCTCAGCCTTGGGCTGCTCTTTTGGGAAATCTTTTTCTTTTCCCAGGCTGCTTCAGGGGTGAGGGTGGGCTGGGAGTCGAGGCTGTTGGGGAGGAGGCAGCAGTGTGGGGCTCCCTGGATGGCCCCAGCCTGGGCGGCAGAGGTCTTCCCAATCAGCAGTAGGGAGCATAGAGTAGAGGTCAAGCTCAGAGCCTTGGGGGCAGAAGCTGGGCTGGAAGGTTCTGCAGGTCAGAGGGAGGGGCGAGAGTGGGTGGGGGCACAGATCCAGAATCACAGGGGCAGCAGGCTGAAGGGGCAGCTGCCCATGTGGATGGACTCAGATGGCTGAACTGCACTTATCCAAACGAACTGTTTGCAAGTGGATGAACAGGCCCGGAGAGGGAATGATCTTGCTCAAAGTCACACAGCTAACAAGTGGCAGGCATGGGTAATAGTTATTAACACTCACTGTGCACCCAACCAATGCTGGGCAAAGTGATTTGCATGAGTCGGCAAGCTCAATGTTCACAGCAATCTTCTGAGCAGGTACTATTGTTTCATGCCCATTTTATAGATCAGGAAGCCTGGGACACAAAGGTAGAGCCAATCCCTGAACCCTCACATCCTGACGTGGAGCCTACACTCCTCACCATTTCACTGTAAATGCTGTGTGGAGAGGTGGGAGGCATAGGGGTAAACCCCGACAGGGTTCAAATCCTCCTGACACCTCTTACTAGCTGTGTGGCTTGGACTAGTTGTAGCACCTCTCTATGCCTCCCTTTTCCCATCTGTGAAGTGGGGATAATAATTAGTACCTACAGCATGAGGTTGTTGAGGGTTAAGGCTGTAAAGGACTCAGAACAGTGCCTGGTATGTGGAGGGTACCTTCTATGTGCCTGCTGTTCCAATGATGGTAATTATTGTCTTGTCTGTTGCTGCTGGACTCCCAGGTTACACTTTCTTTTTCAAAGTCATGGGGCTTTCATGAACTTTTCCTGAAGGCTGCCTTAGACTGTAAGATTCTCCTCTGGGCCCAGTCATTGGGGGCCCTTATGGCACATCCACTCTTTATCACCCCTGAACACCTTAGAGTTCATGAACTTATCAGACTGGTGGAAGAAGGGTGTAGAGCAGGCTCTGAGAGGTGGAGGCTGACACCAGGGGGGTGTGCTGAGATGGGACCCAGCCCTGAATCTGGGTAGTGAGAGGTAAGAGGTGTGGGTATGGGCCTCGAGACCCAGGAGACTGGAAGAGAAAGGGAGAGGATGTAGCGGGGAGTGGAGAAGGGCCTGAAATCAGATGGTATTTACTGACCGGTTTAGGGCATGTGGGCTCTGTCAAAGCACTTGCAAACTGCGGCTGTCATTTCCTCTTGTTGGCTGAAGCACAGTTTCCTGCCTCGGGGACAGTGGGGCCTTGGGGAGGAAAGCCCTGAGCACCTATACCTGGAATCAGGGGTGGCAGCTATGCCTGTTAAAGCCCCCCACCCAGTAACCTCTGGCTTTCTAGTCTTCCTCCTCTGCCCTTGTTCTGGTGACCATCCTCTCCCCACCTTCCTCTAATCCCCTCCTCAGCATATTCCAGAGCTGTAAGAGCCTTAGACAGTATCAAGTCTGACTCCTATGTGTTACAGATAGGGAAACTGAGGCCTAAGGAGAGCAAGGAACTTGCCTAAGTTCCCTTAGCAAGACCAGGGGAAAAAATAGAGACAGCCTAGGCTGGTGGAAAGGCACTGTACCAGGAATTTGGAGCTGGGCTCTGCGGCTGACATGCTGTATCAGACTGTAGGTGTGTGTATTGTTCAATGGAAGTGAATTTAAATGGGCTCTGTAAATCGAAGGGGCTTTTTGAGACTTTGGAGAGTTCTAGTAACAATAGCTTCCTCCTCGTTATCAGAGCCGGGGCTGGAAACCAGTGGTAGGTGAGTTCTTATTGCTATGATTATCATAATGAACAACCACTGTTTACTGAGACTTCTCCACATGCCAAGCACTGTACCAAACACTAGAACAAAACACTATTTCCTTCAGATCTCCCAGCACCCTCTGAGGTAGGTATAATTCCCTTTTTTAGTTGAGGAGGAAAGTAAACAACGTACAAGGCCACAGGGTTACAAGGCTGAGACATATAAATGGCCATTTTTATAAGCCAAAAATGGTCAACTGAAAACACTATTTCCTTCAGATCTCCCAGCACCCTCTGAGGTAGGTATAATTCCCTTTTTTAGCTGAGGAGGAAAGTAAACAACGTACAAGGCCACAGGGTTACAAGGCTGAGACATATAAATGGCCATTTTTATAAGCCAAAAATGGTCAACTGTTGGCTGTTTAATTAGGTTTAACCTAATAGGAAATGCTAGAGCTGGGATCACACAGAACTGTTTAAACTCAAAGCCCATGCTTTGAAAAATTGTTTACTGTCTACATGCTGGTTGCAGAAAGTTTAAACACTGAAAATAAAAGAAAAAAAGATCTCCCAAACCCAGAGACAACATCCATGGGGCGGGGGGGGGGAGAATAAAATTCCTTCAAGATATCTGTCCAGGCATTTATACATGTATTAAAATAGTTGGTGTTTATTGATAAAATGGCCTTTACTATTCTGAGCGATTACGTGCATTATACCATTTGATTTCTGCAATCTGATGAAGGAGGTATGATTATTTTTCTCATTTAACAGATGAGAACTCAAAGTGGGCTGATAGTGTGGTAGTTAAAGGCACAGGCTCCAGCAGATTGTCCAGGTTTAAGTCCTGGCTCTATCAACTGGGGTAAGTTACTTCACTCCTCTGTGCCTTGGTTTTGACATCCGTAAAACGGTGATAATAACAGCACCCATCTCAAAGGATGGTTGTGAGAACGAAATGAGATAGTCTATGTAAAGTAATTAAAGCACTATTGGCACATGGTAAACACTTAATAGATAAGCTGCTATTAAAGCTCAGGGAGGTTAAATGACTAGATCAAGACCACACAGCTAGAAAGTGCCAGAGCCCTCATTCAAACCCAAGTTCATCTAGTTCTGGAGCCCAAGCTGCTAACCATTTTTCAGAACTGAAATTAGATCAAGGTGCCCACCGTTTTCCCTTTGCTGGCCCTCTCCCTGCCATCAGGTACATCTCGTCCACTCACCTGCCATAGTAGCCCCTGCTCGGGGTCTGAAGCCAGGAAGGATGAGGGCCCTGCTGTTTTCTGCTGGCCCACGAGGTCCCTCACAGCAGGTGTTGAAGGGAGAGACCTGTTTTCTGCGAAGACAATTTGGTTCTTGCTAACTTGACCACTGGGCCTGCCTCTGCCTCCTCTTTTCTGTGTGACCTGGGCCAAGTCACTCCATTTCTGTGGGCCTTACTTTCTCATGTGCATGATGAGGGGGTTGAAGCTGATCTCCAGTAACAGCCACAATTACCTTTACTGAGTGTCAAGTATGTGCCAAGCATGGGTCCTGATGCTCTACACCTGCTCATATCAGTATGTTTACTAATAACAATAATTGCTGCATTTACTGAACTCACTATGGGCCAGGCCCTGCCTTAAGTGCTTAACCAGCATTAGCTCATCTAATCCTTATCTCAACCCTGCATGGTATGTATATGTAATCCCCATTACTGAGGTGAGAAAATTGAGGTTCAAAGAGGCAAAGTAACTTGACCACGCACTCTTAAATGACCTCGAATGTCCCTTTCAGCTGCCATTCTGCAAAACTCTAATCTCACACCACCCTCCATCCTGCCTGCTTCCTCCCCCTCTGCCTTCTCCACCTCTCCTTCCTGAGCAGGCTTCCAGGATGTTACGGTGATGGCAGCCCTCGGCTTCGGCTTCCTCACCTCGTCTCTGCGGCGGCATGGCTGGAGCAGTGTGGCCTTCGGCCTCTTCATGCTGGCCCTCGGGGGGCAGTGGGCAGTCCTGCTGGACGGCTTCCTGAACCACTTCTCCCGTGGAAAGGTGATCATCACACTCTCCAGGTAACCGGATGGTGGCTGCATCGCTTTGGGGTCCTTGAGGGGCGTGGTGCCCAAGAGGGCAGTTTCTAGAAGAGCTAGGATATCCCCTTCTCTAGCACCAATGCCATGCAATATTTAGGACACACTTTTTCTAAAAGATTATTCATTGTTTATCTAAAATTTAAATTTAACTGGGCGTCCTGTATTTTATCTGACAGCCCTACTCTGTGGTGTCACAAGGGGTCCAGATCTATAGCCCTCCCTGGATCCTTTCTTTTTTAAATTATTGATTATGATTTTGTAAAGTTACACAATTAATATAGTTTCATAGAAAAATTAAGAAAGATAAATTAGGAAAAAAAAAATAGAACACCAAGCCAGGGGTTGCGATCCCCTTACCAGTCACAAAAAAAAAAAAAAAAAAAAAAAAAAGAAATGTCCCACCCAGAGACAGTCTCTTGAAAAGAAAGAAGGACTCTCAATCTTCAAATGCTCGTGGGCAATAGATAGCCATTCCTTTGCTTTCTTTAAATGAACTTTGATCCATTTAGATGCATTTATATGAGATGCTAAGAACTAGCAAAACTTATCCACAATGCTAGAAGTCAGAACAGTGGTTACCTGGGCAAAGAGGTGGATATTGATTAGTGAGGGGTGTAAAGTAACCTTCTGGGGTACAGGGGATGATCTCCATGTTAACATGGGGATGGTTACATATCAAGCTATACACTTGATAGAAGGAATTAGGTAAAAATTTTTCCTTAAAAATTGTTTTTTTGTTTTATCCAACTCTGAATCTCTGTCCTGCCTAGACGATGGTAAATCCCATCTGGGGCATCTTGGGAATCTCTCAAGGCTACTCGGTTCCCCTCTGAGACCCTGCTAGACCTTCAGGGCACTGCTCTTCGTAAACTAGGCACTGTGCAGGGCACTTCACAAATATTATTTTGTTCAACCTTCTGGATAGGTGTCTAACCTGGTATACAGGTAAGGAAATGGAGGCTCAGAGAGGGTAAGGCACTTGCCTAGGGTCACACAGCTAAGTGTAGAGAGGGCTTCAGCTTTAACTATCTGTAACCCTTCCCACACACTCCAGAGTGATCATGACATGAAACACACTCTAGCCAGCTCCCCACTAACCCTGAAAATAAAAAACTCTCCACATTTTTCTTTTTGAAGGTTTAGATCTAATCCCCACAAAGATTTGATACCACCCCCCCACCCTACCTCCACCCACTATCCACCTGGGAAGTGACAAAGAGCACTTGGGGGAATTGTGACAGTGGTGGCCCTGGTCTGGTGCCTCTGCTGCCTTGGCTTAAGGTCACACAAGCCTTCGGCCTTCTGTACCCTAGCCATCTGAGCAGGAGGCATCTGATAGTCACTCCCTTCTTGTGATGACCACAGGGACATGTTTGTTCTTGACTCAATCCAGGAAGACAATAAGGGGCCATTTGCAGCCTGAGTGAACTTCCATGCCCCACCCCTGGCCACATGGATCCTCCCAGCTGTGACCTCTGCTGGAGCTGACTTTGAACAATGGGCTCCTTCCTGACCAGTTCTGGCCAGGGCTGGGCTGATGGGTGGTGCCAGACCTGCCTCTGGGCACAGCATGCTCTCCCTCCCTCCCTTGGCCTCACTCAAACTTGTGCCACCTGACCTGGCACTGAATTGTTTCTGCCTTGAATCCCTTCAGGGCAGGGGCCTATCTTACTCAGCGATGTCCTCCAGCGATCTCCTCACATAGTAAGAACTTAGAAATAGAAGGAACCCTAAAAGTGTGATGTTTTTAACGCTGTATTTTGAAAGGTCTTGGAGGATGTTGCTTAGAAGATAACAGCAATAACTGGTCCTCTTATTGTACTTGACACATATCAACTCACTTCACCCTCGTGACAGCTTCAGAAGCGTTGCTTCTACCTTATAGATGAAGACACTGCGGCACAGACTGGTTAAGTAATCTACCCAAGACCACCACACAGTCAAGAAGTGGTTGAGTTGGGATTCCAGCCCAGGCAACCTAGACCTGAGGCTGCACTCCTAACCACTGTACTTCACTGTCGCGCCAACTGAAATGCCACCGCTGGCACATGTCCTCTTGATTTAAGCCTTTGTCAATGAAATGAGCACTCACTTAAAAGCCATCACTTGTCCAGGCATGATAAGACATTGATAACCCCTTATTCTAAATAATTCCTGGTCCCTGTAAGACTGTGTATTAGTCCACTTTTGTTGCTTATAACAAAATACCTGCAACTGGATGATTTACAAAGAAAACAAAATTTATTGCTTACAGTTTCTGAGCCTGGGAAGTCCAAAGTCCATCTGGTAGTGGTGACAGTGACCCAGGAGTCTCACATTGTAGGATGATAGAAGCAGAGAGATAGAGACAGACTCTCCTCTTCTTTTAAAGCCCTCAGAACCATGGCCCTGACCGCTGTTATTAATCCATTCCCTACTGCACGGTCCTACAATCCAATCGCCGATTTACAAAGAAAACAAAATTTATTGCTTACAGTTTCTGAGCCTGGGAAGTCCAAAGTCCATCTGGTAGTGGTGACAGTGACCCAGGAGTCTCACATTGTAGGATGATAGAAGCAGAGAGATAGAGACAGACTCTCCTCTTCTTTTAAAGCCCTCAGAACCATAGCCCTGACCGCTGTTATTAATCCATTCCCTACTGCACGGTCCTACAATCCAATCGCCTCTTCAAGGCTCCACATTTCAATTACCATAACAGGATTTCCCACCCTCTTAACAGTCACAGTAAAGGCCAAGTTTCTAATCCATAAAACTTGGGGGACACAATTCAAGCCTCACAACTCAAGCTTCAATGAGTTTGAGGGGACATAATTCAATCCACTAGACTCCTTCCCTATGCCCTTTGACCTTCTCCGACCTTCCCTCTAAAATCCTTGTGCCTTAAGCAGGACATGGTGTTGGCAGCAAACACTGGCGAAGCTATGTCCAGACTTCAGAGCACAGGCTTTGGATACAGGCCAACTAGGTTTGAATCTCACATCTGTCATCAACTGGCTGTGTGGCCATTGCCAAAAAAGCCAAGTTTTCTAGTCTCAATGTCCTCTTCTGTAAAATGAGGGTACTTACTGAATGGACATCTAGCACCATATTGCAGAGGGTCACTCAGAGGGTTAAAATTTAAATAAGGTAATGTAGTTACGAGCCTGTTGTACGTAATGCTCAATAAATCATTATTACCATTGTTGTTGTGGTTGTGGCATCATCGTCATTAACTCCCAGGGGGAGGAGGGTGTCTCAGAGCTGCTCAGGGGAGAGTGAATTGTCCAGCTCAGTGCCACCTCCTCCAAGAAGCCCTCCCTGATGAGTCCAGTCAGCATCGCTCTCTCCTTCCAATGAAGGTGATAGCACAGATGTTCTTAGTCGACAGGCTCACGGTGTAAGCCCTATCTCCCCTGCTGGATTATAAACACCTTGAGGACAAAAACTGTTTTCTCCTCCTGAGTCCCACACTGAGCATGCTCATTTGTCAGTAGAAGGAAGGAATCAATAAGTGTTAATGATGCCAGTTTCTATTCGTGAGTTAGTTTTTTGTGCCAGTCTCAGTGCTCAATATGTACATAAGAAGAATATTCCTTGTAATCAACACTGCACTACCACAAGAAAAGTATTATTATCATTCTTATTTACAGATGGAGAAACAGGCCTAGTGAGATTAAATAGCCGGTCAAGTGGCAAAGCTGGGACTGGAAGCCAGGCTTATCCTACTTCCAAACCAGGTGTCTTTCCACAGCCATGGAGAGGGAGAGGACAAGACAGTGGCCCCAGATGAGGAGGGGCGGGGGCACTGAATGGCGCGTGGGCTGGCAGGTGAAGAGCGCCCTCTACTGAGCATCTGTGAGTGATGACGGCGGAAAAGACAAATCCGTGGGCAGAATCCCAGTTGTGAGATTCCAGAAGGGGGCCCTGAACAGAGAGCCTCCTTAACTCACCATGACATTCGTATGAGAACCTCCGGGCATCCTCAGTACAATGAGTGTGTGCAGATCAAGTTCTCAGAGTGTAGATGCCACCCTGATGGGGGAAAGGATAAAAGGGACTCAGGTCTGTGCAGCAAGGCCCCCGTTGTGGGTAGAAATCTTGTCTTATTCTCTACTGTGTGCTCAGTGCCTTGAACAGTGCCAGGCAGAGAGCAGGGGCATGGCAAGTGTTTGCTGAGAGAGCGAATGAATGAATGGGAGGCGTCCTTCTTTCTTAGTCATCCCGGCCCTCTCTCTCTCCACCAGTATTCAGCGGGCCACCATGAGCTCTATGTCGGTGCTGATCTCAGCAGGTGCCGTCCTGGGGAAGGTCAACTTGGTGCAGCTGATGTTGATGACACTAGTGGAGGTGACAGTCTTTGGTACCATGAGGATGGCCAGCAGGCAAGTCCTCCAGGTGAGTTACAGTGCTGTGAACAGGGGCCTTGGAGAAGAGGGGTGGGAAGGTGGAGAGGGGAGGGTTTCCCTTCCATTTGGTGAAGCTTCTGGGATTTAAAAAAATAAAGACAGGCCCAAATGGGGTTACAAAAGTTTGGTCTGTGCTAAATGTTTAAACCCAGCAAACTAATGCCTTTAACTTACAAAATGTGATACTGTAAGACTGTGTTTTTCACAAGATAATCATGGGATATACAAAAAGAGAATTAATTCCCAGGGCCCCACCAGCAGTAGTCCCAGCAAGATGCATGGCCAGTGCTTCTTTCAAACTAGTGTGTGTCAGTAACTATATAGGTGATCTCATTGGGAGAGATTGTTGAAAGTCTGAGTTTGAAGCCAGCAGTGAAGGTGAGGCCAGTCCAGATGGCCCTCCCAGCTCCTCTGCCATAACCCTGACCCTGAGTAATGATATGGCGGACTTCCCCATCTCACAGATGAGAAAGCTGTTGCCCAGAGAGGGACAGTGACTGCCCAAGATCACACAGCAAGATAGTGGCAGAGCACATGTGAGAACTCAGAGTCCCAGCTTGGTTTAGAAAAAAGAGCACTGGACTTGAGTCAAAGACTGGGGTTTGTATCCCAGCTGTGCCATAAATCTCCATGTGACTCTGGGTAATTTTACCTCTTAAAGCTTCAGTTTCTTCATCCGTACTATGAGGATAACATCACTACAACAAAAGGTTTGGAGGAGTAACTGAATTAATTGAATGAGATGATGCATGTTTACAAAAGAAAAAAAAGATCGTGAAGCCTCTTTGCTATGCCTCAGTATCCCATAGTAAGGCCTTTGGATTTTACACTGAGAAATATGGAGAACATTGGGGAGTTTCGAGCAGATATGATCTGAGTTAAGTTGTAAAAGAATCCTTCTGGCTTCTGGGTTCGGACAAAGACTGAAGGGGCAAGGGAGGGAGCAGGTGGAGAGCAGAGGAGGCTGTTGCAATAATCCAGACTTGGACCAGGATGACAGCTGTGAAAATGGTGGGAAGTGGCTGGATTCTGGCTGCATTTTGAAGGCAGAATTGCTAGGATTTGCTGATAGATGGCATGTGAGCTATGAGAAAAAGAGAAGGGCCAAAAATAATGCCAAGGTTTTGATTTTGAGCAACTGGGTAGATGATGATGCTTTTACTGAGATGGGAGCATTGAGATGGAGTAGATCTGGGAGGGAAAATCCAGAGTTTGGTTTCGAATGTGGTAGGGTTAGGGCTAGAGATGTGTATTAAGCATCCCACTGGAGACACTGAATGGAAATGTACAAGTCTGGAGCTCAGTAGAAAGGTCAGGGCTAGGGATATATATTTGGAAGTTGTCTGGTTATAGGTAGTGTTTAAAGCCATGGGACCCAGGGAGATCACCCAGGGAGTGAATGTAAGTAGAGATGTGAAGAAGTCTGAGGACTGAGTCCTAGAGCACCATAAATTGTAGACGGGGACATGAGGAAGAACAGGGAGTAGAGACTGGGGATTGTGGTGAGAGAGGCAGGAGGAAGCCCAGGCCAGCGTAGGATCCTGGAAGGAAAGTAAAGAGAGGGTTTAAGGTGGATCTAATTCCGTTTAAAGGTCAAGTAAGATGAGGCTTGAGAATTGCCCATCAGATTTGGCAAGGGGACCTTGACAGCATGGTTTTGGAGGAGGATGGAGGCAAAAGCCTGACTTGATTGGTTCGGAGTGGGAGATGGGAGAGTGGAGGCCATGTGGAGGCAGCCCTTCAAAGATTTTGCTGTAACAGGGAGCAGAGAAATGGAGTAGAAGCTGAAGGGCAGAATGGGGCCAAGGGAGATTTTTTGTTTACTTAAGATATCACCTGATAGTTATATGCCAGTTAGAATAATCCAGTAGAGAAAGAAAAACACAGATGAGGGATGACACAGAAAAGAGGTGAATTTCGAGAGTCAAGTCTTCGAGTTGGGAGGAGGGAGCGGGGTTTTGGGCACTGATGGTTTTAGGTGGGTGCACAGACAGCTCATCTTAATAATAGGAGGGGAGGCAGAGGCCGTGAGTGGGCTGGCAGATTGGGTGGTGGGTGCCACAGTTCCAGTCGCCTGCAGGGAGAAAATGCTTTACTTATTGCTTCTGTTTTCTCAGAGGAACAAGAGGCAAAGTCATCGGGAGAGGTGGGGTTTGAGGAGAGGGACGGTGTGATATGGTCACCTATGAGAGTGGAAGAGTGGGAGGACCAGAGAGCACAGGCTGGCCCCCGGGCCCTTTGGGGCTTGTGATCATATGGAAGTGCACCAGTGACCAGGGCTGGGTACGGCTGCCCTGGGACAGATGTGGCAGAAGCAGAGAGTTGGCCTTGCCCAGCCTGGGGTACTGCCCAGAGAGAAGCCAGAGACCAGGCGAGACCAGAAAAGGGGCCATCTGCAAGGAAGGGAATATAAAAGTGGGCCATAAAATTTAAGCTGGTTAAGGAAGGAGTGAGAAAGTGACAGAACGATGGACAGCAAACATGGGAAGCCTCGTGGTTAAGAGCAAGCACTCTGCACAGATTCTGCAGCCAGCTGGCCTGTGTCAATTCTCAGCTCAATCCACACTAGCTGAGTCAATTTGAGTAACTTAGTTAACCTCTCTGTGCCCTAGTTTTCCTATCTATAGGATGGGATAATAATAATAATACCTACTTCCCAGGGCTGCTGCAAGGATTCCACAAGTTAAAATATATAAAGGGTTGAAACAGTGCCTGGCACAGGGTAAATGCTGTGGCAATGCTGTTATTGTCATCAGCACCATTATTATCAGGCTCGATTGACTAGAACTGTTGAGGTGGGGAGACCTAAGGAAGTGAGCTGGACAGATAGGAGATGGTGGTTGTGACAAGGTAGATGTTTGAAAGTGAGATTTTGGAGGTAGCACAGTTGGTGGCAATGACAAGGTCTAAGGTTTCAAGTGGATGTGGGTGGCAAAAACGTAATGTAGGGAAAGCTCTTAGAGGAGGGAAAGTTGAGGAACAGAGAGGGGAAGGAGTTGGGTGGACCAAGATGATGCCTTGGAAGAGGGATGGAGAGAAAGGTGCTGAAATCCTCAGTGACTAACAGGCAGCCAGGAGGCAGGCAGAGAACTGCAGCCGGGAGGGGAGAGTGTGGTGGCATGTCCTTTAAGAGAGCTGGGGAAAAAGAACAATGTCTGGAAGGTAATATTGGAGGTTCTTATCATTTATTAATTTTGGTTTTCTTCATCTGTATATATGACTTTATTTTAACCACTAAATACTTCAGTGTACATTTCCTCAAAACAAGGGCATTCTTTTACATAATCATTGCTCAGTTAACAATATTGAGAAATTAACATTGATACAATATTATTATCTCACTAAATTTCACAAGTTGTCCCAATAATATCCTATCTAGTGAAAGAAAAAAAATATTATTATTTTATTTTTTTATTTTTTTAAAAGATGACCAGTAAGGGGATCTTAACCCTTGGCCTGGTGTGGTTAGCACCACGCTCTCCCAAGTGAGCTAACCCACCATCCCTATATAGGGATCTGAACCCGTGGCCTTGGTGTTAGTAGCACCACAGTCTCCTGACTGAGCCATGGGCCAGCCCCAAAATTTATTTTCTGGCCCAGGATCGCACCTTGCATTTAATTCTTACAATTTTTAAATTCCACCAATCTGGAACTGTTCTTTGGTCTTTATTATTCATGATTTTGACATGTTTTGAAGTTACACGTTTTGTAGATTGTGGGCTTGTCCACTGTTTCCTCATGGTTAGATTGAGAGGATGCATTTTTGGCAGGAATTCCACAAAAGTGCTGTGTGTCCTTCTTAGCACATCATATTAGGAGATGTACTGTCTGTCTGTCCCATTACTGGGCACATTAACTTTGGTGACTTGGTTAAGATGGTGTCTGCCAGGACCTTCCACTGTTAAGTTACTGTTTCCCCGTTTATAATTAATAAATGTCTTGCGAGGAGATGATTTCCTATGAATATCCTGTTTCTTTCTTTTTTTTTTCCTTTTTGTCTTTTTTCGTGACCGGCAACGGAATCACAACCCTCGGTGTTGCTCCCGCGCCTCGCTCAGCCAGTGAGCGGCCGGTCTGTATGTGGGATCCGAACCCTCGGTGGGAGTGCCGCCGCGCTCCCAAGCGGCGCACTGCAGCAGTGCGCCTCCGGGCCAGCCCTGAATATCCTGTTTCTCATCCAACTTTCACCCACTGGTTTTAGCATTCACTGATTCCTGCAGAATCAATTAGTACTGTGGAGATTGCCAATACTGGTTTTCTAATTCCATCTTCCCTTCCACATCCATTATTTGGCATTCTTCTGTAAAGAAGAGCTTTCACTTCTCCATTCATTCATTCATTCATTCATTCATTCATCTACTTATTTATTTTTATCACTATGGGTTCATAGATTCATGTAGGCACACTTTCATTTTCTGTTTTTTCTCTCTCTTAATATGAGGATTAATGATAACTCCTTGGTCCCAAGAAAGAAAACGTCACTGGAGCTTTCTTAGGCAGAATAGGGGGAATTCAGTATAAGGACCACCGAGGGCAGGATGTGCAGCCTGACTCAGGAAGGTGCTGGAACTGGATGTGAGAAAACTTTAGGATCCCAAGTAACTCATGCTCTTAATCTTTTGGCTCCTTTTCTCTCTGTACATCTAATTTCTCTGTATACCTGCTTTCTCTTTAATGAAAAACATGTCCATTCCATCCCTGCATTTGTTCCTGCATTTCTATGTGCCAGACCCTGCAGAAAACAACTTTTCTCTCTCAGTTAGTCTCAGTTCTATAGTCTAGGGAGAGAGAATCTGATTAGTCCACTGGGTCATTTATCTCCTCTGGTCCAACCAGCTGCAACTGACATAGATGATGGTTTGCACAGAGAAAACATGGCTGTCAAGAAGAAGGGTAAATTCCAGAGATGAAACACTGAGAAGCACATTATAAACCATTTCCTACTTTGTTACAGTCTTCATATAGATTGTTTTGAAAGACTGCATTAATTTAATGCCATCTCTTCTCTGCAGCTTCGACTTGCTAGTTTAACTGGTCTAGGGGAGGGTTTAGCATAGATTTTGAGAGTTCACTGTCCTCAAAACTTCAATTTAGCTTGGGTTTGTTCACTGGGAGAGCTCACAGGGAACCAGAGTCATGGACCAGAGCCATTTCAATGGAGGCAACTCGAGAAACGAGTATTCCAAGCCAACGATCCCCAAGTGAGGTTTCTGGATTCCTGGAGGAGCTCAAAGAGATTAAAGATGCAAGCACTCTTTTCAGTTGTTGCAAGGGAATTGCATAGACTTTCATCTTTATGGATGACTGAGGGCTCCTTACCATTCATTTATTCATTTCACAAATATTTATTCGGTATCTATTACTACCAGGCACTCTTGTAGCCGCAGAAAAATACAACTCTCATGGAACTTCCATTCCAGAAGGAAAGACTGCCAATAAACAATAAAATAGGCACAAGATATAACATCTTAGATGGTGATAAGTGCTACAGAGAAAAATAAAAGGAGAAAGTAGATAGAAAGAGTTGGGGAGGGGGAATAGAATGTTAGTTAGGGTGGCCAGGGAAGTCTTCACCAAGGAAGTCATTTTTGAGTACAGACCTGAAGGAAGTGGGTGCTCAAGCCACATGGTAGCTGAGAACAGTGTTCAACCGATAGCAGGATGGTGGGAGTGGTCTGCGTCTGCCTGTTTAGAATTGCTGGCACAAGGTGATAATAAAAAGCAGACAGACTTTTAGTGGGCTTTAGTATGCACTCCCTTATTGCTCACACTCAGGGTGGACCATCTCCCTCCACCCTGCCCTGGTTACGCCCCTGCAGAAGGGTAAGAGCTTTCCAAGCAGTTGAATGACCTGGAGTGGGGACATGCTAGTGGATTTCAGAAAGAGAGAGGAGCAAGTGGAGGCGAGGAATAGAAGGTGAAATCATAGAGGTTAGTGTGAGAGCCGATCACACAGCGTCCTGTAGGTCATAGAGCAAGATGTGGACTTTTACTTTGAGTGAGGTGGGAGCCACTGGAGGGATCTGAGCAGAGAAGTGATGTGATCTGACTTACATTTTAACAAGGTCACTCTGGCTGCTGCATGGAGAACAGTCAGTAAGGAGACAAGGGTGGAAATGGGGAGACCAGTTAGGAAATTATTGCAATAATTTGGGGTAGCAGCAATGGTGGCTTAAACCAAGGTGGGGGTCCGTGGGGAGTGGTGGTAAAAATTCTGCCAATTCTGGGAGGATTACTAAATTTGATTTTCATGAAGCAAAATTAGCATATATCTAGAATTTACTAAGGATTTTAGTTTGGTATTATAAGAAGTCTGGCTGCTTCATATTGCAAAGTTTATATCACTCATCACTCTATGCAGACTTGGAGTTCCGCTGAGGAGTAGGAAGCAGTGGGGCACTTCCATGGGGCTTTTTGCCCTACCTAATGCTTTGACCTCAGCCAAAAGCCTTTAAGAACTAATGATAAAGGCCAATGAGTGAGCTCCCGGGAATAAATACACGGCTACTCACAGGGCTCCTGTGAAGGGGGAAAGCCTGCTGGGCGGAGTGGGGTAAGTGCTGAACACTGGTCTCATGACTTCAAGTCACACAGCCTACGTGACATGGGGGTTTGCCTATGTGCAGAAGATGCTACATTCACTACTCCTGCTGGCTTTGGTTGCAGACAGACGACCACGTAAGCATGATGTATGTCCATGTGTTTGCGGCCTGCTTTGGGCTGACTTTGGCCTGGTACCTCTCAAGGCCTCTGCTTGAAGGAGTGGAGGAGAAAGAAAAGACAGCAACGAGCCCCAGTTTGTTTGCTATGCTGGGTAAGGACAAGGTGGGGTGGGTGGTCTCCTACCGGGGCTAAAAGCCAAGAGGCTCAAAAAGGGCTCTGCTGCAAAACCTCTCTCTTTACCAACTTACCCTGGGGTGTCTGAGACCCTTCATAATGACTCGTTTTGAGTGGTGTTTGCTGAAGTCACACGTTTGAATTAAGCATTCCCTTCTAGGGATCTCTCTTCATTAATACCAATGGAGAGGAGAGACTCATTATGTTTAAGTAAGTTTTCCCAATCCTTTTGTCCTTAGTGGAAAGGAGGGAATTGGACAAGTGAAGAAAGGAGAGTGTGGGAGTGGAGAAAGGAACAGGGGTGGGAAGGGAATAGGAATAATGTTATATTTTGAAAAGCTGCGGTGGATATGGTGAACTTAGACTGCTGAGAGAGGCTGAGAGGAAGTCAGGCAGCGAAGTCTGCCACAGGAGAATGAGTATCAGGCCCTGGGGCCAAGTTAAAGCAGCACGTTAGTTTTTAAAAATAAGCACTTGGCCATTACGGACTGGGTCCAGGAGGTCTGGGCTTTGTAGATTTCAACTCTCTGGGCCTTAGTTTCCTTGCCTATAACATATGTTAGCTGGTGCCTGCCAGGGTTTAGTGAAATCCAATGCACCTGGTTATGTAGAAACACTGGTCTGGGCCTGAGTCTTTTCATCAAACTGCACCCCATGCCATCCCATATTTTGACCAGTCTCCTCAGAGTGATCCTATGCTGATTGAGGGGCAGATCAGCTGTCCTTGCTGTGCCCCAGTGTTCCCCCAGTGGGCCCATCTTCCCCACTGCCTATGCTCCAAACACTTGCAATGACTCACTGGCCTCTGAGTGGCTCCTTTCTTTTCCAGTTATTGTGGCTCCTCAGTCCTACGTGGGTACATGGGAACCCTATCAGTGGTCTTGCTGGCCTGGGGGTCACCAGGGCCCTCTTCTCCCCTACTGCCTCCTAGCAACTTCATCCGAAGGGAACAGCTGCAGCTTTTGCTGGCTCCTGCTCTATGTGCTCAGCAGCTCAAGCATATATATTATTATAAATCATACATCTTCTTTATGCCCCTTGTCCAATCTCTCCCCATCCCTCTCTCCCTCCCCCCCATTAATTACCCTAGATTTCTTCTCTCCTTCTGAAAGAGTAATGGTTACTCTGTTGATTTTTTGCCTAGATGATCTGTCCAATGCTGAGAGGTGTGATCAGGTCCCCCAGTATTATTGTAGAGCAGATGCTTCTTCTGTCACTCTGGAATGAGCTTTGTGGAGAGAGACATCCTCTTCTTTTCTTTAGTCTCTGCTGGTTACTCTTCTTGTGTCAATGCACTCCAGTGGCTGGTGGACCATCTGCATGGCAGTTGTGGTGTCTAGCCACTTTTGTGGCAGCCACGGTTATTGTGGTGGCTGTGGTGGGCCACCCACATGGAGGTGATGTTTTTGGCATGCTCCTTACCTACTTAGTGGTGGCATTGGTGGTGTGCCTGGTTGTGGGAGGGGGTCTGGTCCCTGGCTCCAAACCTCAGGATCCCGGGAAGGCCCTGTTGCACTGGTGGTGCACCTCATTGTGGGAGGAGGGTCTGGTCCTCAGATCCAGACCTCAGGACCTCAGGAGGGCGCCATGGCACTGACAGGGTGCCTGGTTGTGAGTGGAGGGCCCAGCATGCCTGGTTGTCCCCCCTTTCTGGCTTGGTAGCCCAGGGGACTTCTGGTCCTTCTAGGTGTTATAGGTATTCTTTCATGAAATGAGGCTTTTACTAGTTAATACAAACTTTGTCTCTGGTTGTGAGTACTAAGTTTTTTCTCCAGTTCTGCGTTGGATTATTTGTTGTTCCCACCACTTAAACTCTGAGCTGGAACTAATTTGTTGTCCTTTGCTTACTTCTAAAGTGGTGGAGCTCCTTGTGGGGACCAGTACTTGAGCTCTGTGATTGAGCTAAATTGCTGCTTTGCTGTTGATTCCCTGGTGAAGGCTTTTTGTGCAGCTCAGGTTTTAATGGTTGACTTTATAGGATTTCCAGGTTTAGTGAAATCCAATGCACCTGGTTATGTAGAAACACTGGTCTGGGCCTGAGTCTTTTCATCAAACTGCACCCCATGCCATCCCATATTTTGACCAGTCTCCTCAGAGTGATCCTATGCTGATTGAGGGGCAGATCAGCTGTCCTTGCTGTGCCCCAGTGTTCCCCCAGTGGGCCCATCTTCCCCACTGCCTATGCTCCAAACACTTGCAATGACTCACTGGCCTCTGAGTGGCTCCTTTCTTTTCCAGTTGTGGCTCCTCAGTCCTACGTGGGTTCATGGGAACCCTATCAGTGGTCTTGCTGGCCTGGGGGTCACCAGGGCCCTCTTCTCCTCTACTGCCTCCTAGCAACTTCATCCGAAGGGAACAGCTGCAGCTTTTGCTGGCTCCTGCTCTATGTGCTCAGCAGCTCGAGCCTGGAAGTGGCCAGGGCTCAAAATGGTTAGAGGTTTATTCTTTCTCTCATCATGGCTTCTCTGGCTCCATGCACTCTGTAGGTCTCTCCTTCTCTTCCCCTGAACTCTAGCAGCCCCATCTCGGCTGCTGTTGCTTTTTAATAGCTGTAAATTAGTTGATTTGGGACAGAGTGGTGCTAGAGACCTTCTATTCTGCCATCTTTACTGGAACCCCCCAAGAAATTTTGAAAATTGAGCGATCAGAATCAGAAGAAATGTTATGCTAGTCATGTGACCTTGGTCAAGCCACTTCAACTTTTTGAGCCTCAACTGCCTCATCTGTAAAGTGGGAATTAAGAGATAATGTGTTTATTGTGCTTAATGTGGAGTGAGTGCTAGGCAAAAATTAGCTGCAATTAGTAATATACCTGAGGGACTGTGTGTGTGAGTTTTGGGAGGGGGGATGGGGGGCAGCCGAAGACAATATAATTTCCAATGATGATTGGGCATGGGGTCAGCCAGGCAGAGGTGTTGGGGAAGAGTCTAGACAGATAGGAGGCTTAGAGAGAATGTGGCCCCTGATGATGGGCTAACATCATAATTCCAGTGTAAGGGGCAGGGGGTTTCCCCCAGGTGAGCTCCATGATGACAGAGAGTCCAGGAGCAGACAAGATGGGAACATCCAGGGTGGCAGGAGTGGGCATCAGGTCAGGGAAGCCCACAAGCTGGTCCCAGAGCTCAGAGCTCCAAGGCCTAGTGTAAAGCTACACGACTATGCCAGTTGTCGAGTAAGGCGAATCATAACTAAAGCCAAAATGTTTCATTATTTTAGTTATACTAAGTTTCCATTTGTATTGTCAGGGCTAGGGCTCAGACCCTTCGAACCCATTGTACAGACTGGGTCACCAGACCCCTCACATGCAGGTCCACAAGCTCTAGGTAATTGGGAAAGATCCCGGGAGCCATTGGCAGATGACAGGAGCTCAGTCCTCAGTAGCCACAACAGCAGCAGCTTACCGGTCCAGCAGCTTACGGGTCTGGTGGTGGCAGCGGCCTCTCAGAGGGTCCTGGGGACACTGGCAGCAACAGCTTGCAGCAGTAGCGGCCTCCCCGTGGCCCACCCTGAGGGCATCCTGGGGGCCGGGGGCACCATGGATCAGAGCCACTCATCCTTTATACTTAAGTCATAACCTAGGACACCTAGGTGCACATGCGCAATTACATTAGACAATAGCCAGGAACACCTGGGTGCACACGCACGTTTACATCAAATACTCGGCAAGATTCTGAACATCGAGGGGCCCTGAACATTTTCCTACATTTTCCCAACACCTAGGTAGAGTAGAGGGTCAGATGAGAGCAAGGTAAGGCTCCAGTTTCATAGCAATGAAGGACACAGCAGAGGTGGGACCCAGAAACAAGGCCCAACATTTTCCTACATTTTCCCAACACCTAGGTAGAGTAGAGGGTCAGATGAGAGCAAGGTAAAGCTCCAGTTTCATAGCAATGAAGGACACAGCAGAGGTGGGACCCAGAAACAAGACCTAGCTTATTGGAATTGGGTCCAGCCGCACAGGGTGGCATAGGCGCCAAGTAGGCAATAATAATAATAATGACATGTTTATTGGGCATTAGTAATAGTCTATGTCAGGCACTGAGCTAAGAGCTGTATATGTGGTAACTCATTTAATCCTTGTGAAAACCCTATGAAGTAGGTATTATCAAAACTGCATTCTTCTAAGTGCCCAAGGCCACATCACTGATAAGTGTGAGGGGTGGCTAGGATGCACTTTCCAGATGATTCCCTTTGTGCTTCCCAATCAGAGGAACTGCTCCCTGTGCCTAAGAGGTGGGCATGAGCTAGCCCATTGATGAAGGTCATATAGTCCCAACAGAGGGAAGGGGATGGTCGCAGGATCCACGAAGCAGAGAGGACATTATGGCATTGCCCTGCTACCAGCTTGCTGAGTAACTTTCAGCAAGACAGTGTTCTCTCTGTGCCTCACTTCATTCACCCACAAGCTATTTCTTTTCAGACTCACGTCCACAATGCGGTGCTGGCAGGAGGCGTGGCTGTGGGTGTCTCATGTCACCTGATCTCTTCTCCCTGGCTGGCCATGGTGCTGGGTCTTGTGGCTGGGTTGATATCCACTGGGGGAGCCAAGTGCCTGCCGGTAAGAAACAACTAACATCCTCTGCTTTGGCTGAGATCAGCAGTATCCTGGGGTCCTTGTGGGCAATTATGTGATGCCATGGGCTGCATTAGGCAGGTGTTGGTGCTTTCTCATGTTGGCTTCAAAGCCTGGGTGAGGGACCACCCCAGTTGGATAGTACATTTGTGAGGATGCTGAGGAGCAAGTAAAAGAACCCATTCAAGCTTGCTCAGGTATAAGGGGGAATTTGTTATAAGGCTCCTGGGGTGTCATAGAGCCCAAGGACAGGGATGCTGCTAGGAACCCAGGAAGGGCTGGCATCAGAGACTGGAGTGTTGAGGGGAACCCAAGAAGTTCCTGCTTTACTTCTTTCTTTGCTTTTCCCAAATATCTGCTTTCTTCTCACTCTGTAGACCTGCTTCCTCGTCTCCTACTCCACATGGTGGAATGTAGTCTTTTGCTTCAAGAAAGCAGCCAAGTGGAATCTCTTGGGTCCAATTCTGAATTCTCTGGAGAAGGGGCTCTTTGGCTTAACTTGGATAATGTGTCATCTTTGGCTGAGGGTGGGGGTGGGGCATGTCATACATACATGGCTGCTGCCATTGAGCCATGTGGATGGAGGAGGAAGGGGCAGCACCGGAAGAGAGAATTCTAGGCTGACAATCCAGGTCATGTCCACTTCCAATTGTCTAATTCTTCTAAGTGGATGGATTCTTCTTTCTTCAATGCTGAACAAGTACTGCTTATACCAGAGTTACTCCATTAGAGCTAATTGGTTATAACGTACTTCTAGGAGAAATATTTATGGATGACAAATCTTCATGGGTCTGAAGACCTGATAGAGGAAAAAGGAGTAGACTTTTGAAGGCTGAAATTGCATGAACAATGGATATTCAGGGAGTCAGTTTCAATCTAAAATTAGGAAGAAGTTACCAGCAGTTTGATTTTCCCAAAGATGGGAAAGTCTGATTTTCATCTTTGCAATGGGAACAAATGTCTTTTATCTCCTCTGGCTTTGAAATCCTGAGATGAAAGGAGGAAGTGCACAGCAGAGAATGCATAACAAGTTATCCGCAGGCTTGGGTCCATTGCTTTCTCTGTGCCGCAGTGTCCTTCACTCTACCACTGGGAAGACTATTCCAGGATGATTCACTTCTCCAACCACTCATTCATTCAACACATATGTTTTAACACTTACTGTACTTCTCCAGCTATAGTTTAGTGAGGAAAATGGACAAATAAACACAATACAGTGTGGTAACTGCTGCAGGAACACATCTAAGATAGCCTGGGACAGGTCAGGAAATGCTTCCCAGAGCAGAGGACATGTCAGCTTAGCATTGACAAATAAGTAGTATAAGTCAGGCAAAGAACAGTACTGGTGAGAAGGGCATGTGGCCCAGAAACAGAAAGATGTTCTTATGGCTAAAGCATAGGGTTTACCTGGGATATGGTGCAACCAGCACCTTGAGAGATGGGAGGTGCTCAGGCATATCTCCTGGGCTAGGTGAGGGATCTGGATTTTTATTCTGAAGACAATGGAGGTTCTAAGAAGGGGACTAGCCTGATCAAATTTGCATTTCTGTCCACATCTGTTGGCTCACAGCCATCTGGGAGGCTGAGTGTTGATGCTGAAGGAACAGTGGGAATCTGGAGGTGTGTGCAGATGCTTTTCTTCTAATCAGCCATGTTGTCTTTGGGATGGCACATAAGTGTGGGCTAGACCAGTGGGTCTCAATCGCTCCCAGGGGACATTTGACAATGTCTGGAGACATTCTTGGTAGACACCGCTGGGTGTCATCTAGAGGGTACAGACCAGGATGCTACTAAACATCCTGCAGTGCACAGGACAGCCTTCCACAACAAAGAATTATCAGCCTAAAATGCAAATAATGCCTAAGCTAGACCCTTGCTACTCAAAGTGTGGTCTGTGGACAAGCAGTACTGGCATCGCCTGGAACCTTGTTAGAAAGGCAGAATCTCAGACCCTCCCCTCCCCACCAAACTTGACACTTCATGTTAACAAGGTCCCCAGGTGATGTGAGCGCACATTCAGGTCTAAGAAGTACTGTTTTAGGTGGCTCTGGATGCCGAGGTGAGTGAAAAGGGTGGATAGGGAATATGGGTCTCACCTGCAGATCTGCTTATAATGATGTTTGTCCCCAGTTGTGTTTCAGCTCAGTGCTGGGGATTCACGATACCTGCAACGTGTACTCCACCTTCGGCTTGCCGGGTCTGCTCGGAGGGATCACCTACATTGTGCTTGTAGTGCTTCAGATCAGCTGGACCAAGAATCCCATGTGGGTCACGCAGCTTATCCCCTTAACCTCCCCATCCAACTGGAGAAGAAATGTGCCCAGAGCCCTCAGCTGGGGAGCATGCATTCAGGGCCAGGCACTCAGTAGGCCTCGACACATATTGTTTGGCCAATTTACTCAGAAATTCTGCCCAGCCCCTACCTTGTATGGAGTCATCACCTCTCCAGGCCACTTCTTCTTTCCAAAATGGACAGCTTGGGTGCAAGACAAAGGCAGAGTCCCAAGACCCCACAAATGTGGGCACAGCCCAGTTGAGTCTGTTTCCACCCATGGTGCTTTAGGTCATGGTAAAGCGCTTGTGCTGTGGAGTCAGAATGCTCTTGAAACCTGCTCCCACTGCTTCCTAACTGGGCATGTTATCTAACTTTCCTCAGCTCTGGTTGCCCAATCGTAAGTGAGGGTAATGATATACCACCCCCATTAGGTTGTTGGGAAGCTCTTTGATGCCAACACTGTGTGGTTAAGGGGATTTAATAATTTACTATAGGGAAATGCTAAGCACAACCCATCCCGAGGCCCAGAGAGGGAAGGGGCTTGGCTGAGATCTCTTAGGTTGTTGGGAAGCTCTTTGATGCCAACACTGTGTGGTTAAGGGGATTTAATAATTTACTGTAGGGAAATGCTAAGCACAACCCATCCCGAGGCCCAGAGAGGGAAGGGGCTTGGCTGAGATCTCGCTGTGAGATGGGAACATGGGCCTCTGGACCAGAGTCAGGTTCTGTGCACCCCAGACCGTGGTCAGCAGTGCTTGCTTTGAAATACCAGAGCCCTGGCCATTACCTCCTGGAGGTTGTGTGAGTATTTTCTGGATGTGGCTCACATAAAATGAAAGAGTGACTTGAACTGATACAGCAATGACAGTATTACTGATAATACTCTTTATTGACTGCTTTCTAAGAGCAAGGCATTGTGCTAAAAATCATTACTTGCATCATCTCATTTAATCCTCACCACCACCGTGAGAGGTATTGTATGCTAAGAAATGATACTTAGGTGCAGTTATCTGCCCAAGGTCACCTGGCTGGAAGTGGCTGGAAAGGCAACTGAGGTGGGTGATGAGGAGCTCATCTTGTTTAGAGGCATCTCAGAAAAATCACGGAGGAGACGGCATCTCTTCCAGCTCTTGGGTCCCTTATAGCTCCAATGATAAGGACGACCGTAGCCACAAATGATAGGAATCACATAAGGGCAGGCGAGGCGTTCTTTCTGGAGCTGCTTGGGGTGAGGAGGATTCCTTTTGGGTTGGGGAAAGGATGATCTGTGTGAAGAAGTCACCTGAGTAATGGGCTCCAATGATGTGCCTGTCACTGTTTTAACAACTGTGCAACTCTGGGCAAATCCTTTCCTCTCTCTGGGCCTCAAAGTCCTCCTCTGTAAAATGAGGCGTTGATCTAGCAGGGTCCCAAACTCAGATTCCTGTAGGGGCCAGGCAGGTAAGGTAAAAAATGAGGGCAGTGAAGGGGGGCTGGCAGTTGCTCTTCAGCTCCAAGCTACCATTACTATGCAGGGATCCAGGCTCAGTGTCACCAGATCAATGACTTTTCAAGAGAAGCTAGAAATCTAGAGTCTTGCATGTCCTCTCTCAAGTATTGGTGAAAAATTAAAAATCATTAGAAACATTGTATGGGCCAAATTCTGCTTGGGGGCTGCCGACCTATAGCTTGTGGACCACCTACCATTCTAGAACCTCAATTCTGTGATTCTGTGGTTCTCCCAGAGCAATGGTTCTCAAGAGCACCAGAATAACCTGAGAACTTGTTAGAGATGCAAATCCTACTGAGGCCTTAGCCCAGACCTACTCAATTAGAAATCTGAGGGTGGGGCCTAGCAGTCTGTATTTTAACAAGCCCTCCAGGTGATTTCCATGTAAGCTTCAGCATGAGAACCAATGGCCTATAGCAAAAAAAAAAAAAAAAAAAAAAAAAAAATTTCTGAGGTGCAAATACTCCCATTGTGACTGATTTTAAGCTATTAGGTGACATCACTGAACATGAAGTTGGGAAGAGATGAAAACCATGACTCCCATAAGCCTGTGTGAGCTGGCCCTAGCACACCTCTACAGGCCAACTCTTGTCAGGACGAGTCAGCTGAAAACCAAAAGGTAGTTGTCCTGTTTCCTCTGCAGAAACCTAGCAAAGGGAAGCACAGGGTGATAGTGATGACCTCTCTTGGGGAGGGCTTTGGCTTCTTGGAAGCACAGGCTTCAGGGACAGGCAGACCAAGGTCATATTTACCAATCCTATGACATTAGGCATGGTATTCAAACTCTCTAAGTCCCAGTTTTCTATCTGTAAAATGGGATAATAAGATCTGTGTCAGAGGGCTGCTGTGAAGATTTAGCAATATTTAATAATTAAAGGGCTCAGGACAGTGCCTGGGATGGAGTAAATACCCAGCACAGGACCCTTTTCTTTGATGATTGATGATGATTGATACTGCTGCTTTCTTATAAGGGCATCTCCATGTAATGGAAAGACGGAGAGAGGATTACAGTCAGACACAATGTGAAGTGTGGATCCGCTACTTTACTAGCTGGTGACATTGGGCAAGTCAGTTAACTTTTCATTA